ACTGCATGATACTCTTGGAATTTCATTGGATGATCAAAGGTATTTCCTTTAATGCTTTCTGCCACTTCCTTCCAAGATCATTCTGTGATTATATCATGATCATCATCAATGTTTCAAAACGTCATTGACCCCAGGCAGTTGAGCTGTTCAGACTGGAAACCGGTCACCATTCTGGAATTTCAATCTTTTATTTTACATGTCTGAAATTCATGGGTTGATCATTTCTTTCTTTTTCAGGCTGATGTGGATGGAAATGGAACAATCGATTATATTGAATTTATTACTGCAACCATGCATAGGCACAAGCTGATACATTTGTGACAGGATGCCCGGGCTGCTAACTCTATGTTGTTTGGAAGCTCCATAGTTCCTATTCAAAAAGAATAGTCGTCGTTGGCATGAAGAGGAGAGAGAAACTGGCTTACTTGGTAGAAGAGACCATTGTATTTGCATTGATGGTGGGAGTAGCTGGTTGTTTTTATGTTATTATTTTTTACCAAGATGCCCGTTGTATGCCCAAGCAGCTTGTTATTTTTTATATTTGTTTAATGGTGGGAGTAGCTGGAACACCATTTGGTAGCAAGAAACAGTTCTATTTGCATCGTGGAAATGCCAAACATCCACAAAAATTGTATTCTTATTTACGTCTTTCAAAACAAATGAGCTGAGTGCAAAGTGGGTGTGTAAATCTTGAACCACTTTGCACTCACATGAACCAAACATTTTCGTTTTGCACTCTACAAACTTGCATTCGTACTCCAACCAAATGGAACCTTATGTGATGGCATGATCATCATATTTTCCTGACTTTTTTTTTCGAATTCATTTTTTTCTTGGCAAGGCAATGCCCTAGCATGGAGAACGGTTAATTTTACCAGGGTATTTAATGGAATTTCGTAAAATAGCTAGCAATGTTCAGAGTAGTCACAAGTAGACCTGTTCATGGGCCGGGCTTGGGCTTGGCTTTTAACAAAATGCTAATGGGCCTGGCCCGAAGCCCGAGCCCAACACAGTGTAAAATCAAGCCCAAAGCCTGGCCCGTGAACAGGTCTATTCACAAGGAAATCTCTAAAGATAAGAAGTCAATATCATGTTGTTAATTGTGCTAATGCTGATTGCTTTCACTGTCAAAAGTTATACTTGTGTAAAAAGGGCAGCCCAATACATGAGGCTCCCACCAATGCAGGATCTGGGGAGGGAAAGATGTATGCAGCCTTACCCCTGCATATACACAGAGAGGCTTTTTCCAAGATTTGAACCCTGGTTACCCAGATTGCAATGGAGCAACCCAACCATTGTGCTAAGGCCCACCCTCCAAAAGTTATACTAGTGTAATTTGTCGAAATGCTGACTGCATTTTCTTTGGCCATTTGTTTGTTTCTTTTCTCTGGAATGTTGATTTTGTGCTTTCCATATTAGTTGATTGTGCTAACTGGCTTATTGTTCACTATCTTTTGTATAGGTTGCTTGCCTCTGATGTATATGGTGTTATCTATATATGGGATCGATGGATAAGTAATCTCCCATGTCTTGAGCTTATGGCTAACAACCAAACCATGATACTCTAAATAGAATCAAGTTAAATGCGGAAAATCATGTTTATATTGAACTCAAGAACTCTATGTTACATTGAATTGATAATTCCTCCATATGTGTTTTCATGCAAATAAGATACATCCTACATCATCTCTTTGATTATATCACTTCAAAGATTTTTTTTTCCAGTTTAGTCCTTTGCACTGTTGGAATAACTTTCTGGTTGACATAGAAATTCTGGAATAAGCTTATCAGGTCCAAACATGAAAGAACTCTCCTTTCTGAGCATGCCACACCTTGCCATAATGGTGAAACAGGATTCATGTAGCTGACCCCATGTAGTTGGGATAAGGCTTGGATGATGATTATGATTAAGATGCAATTAGAGAAATAACCGGCTTTAATGTTTTTCATTCTGCATATGTTGTACTTGTGTAGGACTTAAATGTGTTGCACTCATCTGCATTATTTTGATGAGCATGAGGAATAAATTTCATTACAAGGAGAAAAAGCCACCCTGCTCATACCATAGCAGGTGGACAAACTACAACAGATCCTCTACACAGGCCAAAAAAAGAGTACAACAAGAACCCAAAGAGAGGAGCAGAAAAATAGAAAATCCTTTTCTACCCCCAACCTTATATCCGGACCTGGGCAACTAAAACCCAAAAAGTCATTTCCTACCCCCAACCTTGCTAAAAGAATCAGCTAGCATATTTGCACTCCTAGGTACCCAAGTGAATGAGATGTTCAAACTGGCACCCAAGGAATGACAGTTTTGTTCTTGAGAATTTATCCATAAAATGACAGTTTTGGCAGTCCCCTCAACAACTATATTTGTTAATCCCTGCTGAACAACCAGTTTAAGGCCTTGAATTAAAGCTACCAATTATTCCCTTAGGGAGACTCCGAAACCAGCTGGTCCTGAGTAACTAAGAATTACATTGCCACCAGAGTCCCTAACCACTCCTCCCACTCCAGAACTCACAGGATTTCCAAGACTGCACTCACCAAAGTTTAGTTTGTAGCTTCTTTCTCCAGGTGGACTCCATTCCACTACTCTTTGTTGTACCCTGTTATTAAAACCCACAATAATGCTCCAACCTCTTAGCAGGTCGTTCAAACTTTACCCCATTGAATTCTTTGCTGATCTGAGCCCAATGTGCAACCCTTACAGTTGTAAGTTTAATCAACTTCTCCACTTCTTTGTGTTTTTCTTTAAAAATTCTGTCATTCCTTTCACACAACAAACCCCACAACATGGCCCCTCTTACACACTGCCATAAAATTCTTCCTTCGAGTATAGCATCTCATTATATGTGGTGTAAAAAGGTCCACCACATCAGAGGGTGCTGTTCACATTTCTCCCACTAAAGAGATAAAATGTGGCTGAACCCGAGAAGCATAGGAGCACAGCAAAAAGAGATAGTTGGTACTCTCCCCATTCTTCTAGCACAGAACACAAACATGGGGAGAAAGAGACCAATTTTTACACTTCCTTTGGAGTCTATCACAGGCGTTCAAGATTTTCTTAGCAGGGGGAAATGTGCTGGACCACATTTCTTTAGCAGGGATAGATAGGTTTTTGCCTTCATTAACGGACCCTAAAAAAGGAAGAACAAGGGAAACTGCATTTAACAGATGGAATCCAAACCTTCTCATCAACACCCAAAGGGGTTAGGACAATGTCTTGAAGTAAACCTATATTAACTTTCGACCTGGAAACTAATGAGATGATTCCCTTAATCATCTGCATTATTATTAAACCTATATTCACTCTTGACCTGAAAAAATAAGCAAATGATGATGTGATGATGGAATGGTGAAACCTACATATAAGGTTCTGACTATCCGTAGATGGTTACCAAAATAAATTAATGAATCAAAACTCTCTTAATATTAAACAGCCTTGGTTTTCAAACAAAGTATACAGCCTTGCCTCAATCATACTAGTATAGCTCCAATTAAGTATCTAGTTCTCTAATTCTCTTAGAGTGGAATCAGGGGTTTTCATAATGCATTTTTGGTAAACTTGATATTTGAAGAATGAACTCCATTATTTCTCCAAATAATTGTATTTATGATCCTATGCCCTTTGGTGATTGATGTGATGTTCTCTCTCTTAATATTAAACAGCCTTGGCTTTGAAAAAAAAAAGGTATACAGCCTTACCTCGACCATACAAGTATAGTTCCAATTAAGCATCTAATTCTTTTAGAGTGGAAACTGGGGTTTTTATTATGCATTTAGGAAACTTAATATTTGTAGAATGAACTCCATTGTTTCTCCAAATAATTGTATTTAAGATCCTATGCCCTTCCTTTGATGATTGACGTGATGTTCTATGCTGGTTCAATAGATTCTTTAGTAGGGGTGATCGTGGGATGGGCTTAGCACCCATATTAAGGACTATAGCCTGGGCCTGGCCCAGACTAGACCCCATGCCTGAAATATAAGCCTGGGTCTATGCCTTTAAAATATAAAATGTGGTATGTAATCATTCATGGAAAGTGGGAGACGAGAGAGAGAGAGAGAGAGAGAGAGAGAAGGAGAGGAAGATACGATTGAGAGAAAAAGAACTGACATCTCTGGCGGCCGCCAGTTCACTATTTATATTAACTTAATAAAAAGAATAGAAATTACAAGCCCCTAGCGGCACACCCTAGAGACAAACTAATAAAAAAGAAGGAAAAATAACTAACTGATAGTATCTTAAGAGGACAACCTACTAACAGCAACTATAAAGTAACAATTAAATAGGCCTTACAACACTCCCCGTCAAGTTGGGCTGAATATGTCTATCATGCCCAGCTTGTCACATAACTCATTGTGTCGCGAGTATGGAAGCCCTTTTGTGAGGACATCAGCGAGTTGTTCCTTGGAGTTGACATAAGGGATGCAAATTTCTCTTTTTTCCAATTTTCCCTTTATGAAGTGTTTGTCCACCTCAATGCGCTTGGTCCTCTCATGTAGGACAGGGTTGTTGGCAATGTTTATGGCTACTTTGTTGTCACAGTAAAGAGACATAGGATTATGGACAACAACTCCAAGCTCCCCTAAAAGATTCTTTAGCCAAAGGACTTCAGCCACCCCATGTGCCATAACTCTATATTCAGCTTCAGCACTTGACCTGGCTACCACACTTTGTTTCTTGCTTTTCCAGGTCACTAGGTTTCCTCCCACAAATGTGCAATACCCACTCTTGGAGCAGGTCTACTATTCAGTAAACATAATCACCTAAAGGTGGTATCTAAGAACTCTCTCTGCTGCCTCCATGTGTGGTTTATTAGGAGAGTGCATGAATTGGCTTAAAACCCCAACTGAATAGGCAATGTTTGGACGGGTCATGGACAAATAAATCAGCTTTCCCACCAACCTTTGGAACTGTTTCACATCTTTCAGAGGTTCACCATCATAGTCACCCAACTTGTGGTCAACATCCATGGGAGTATCTGTTGGCCTTGCACCTAATTTGTCTGTGTCCTGTAATAGATCAAGGGTGTATTTCCTTTGAGAGATAAAGATACCCTTTTCTGAGCGGGCGACTTTAATTCTAAGGAAATACTTCAGGGGACCTAGATCTTTCACTTCAAATTTAGAGGCAAGGAATTGTTTCAATTTTTGTATTTCTGA